CTGCCAACATTGATGTGTTCCAGTTATTTTGATAGGAGTCATTCTCACTGGTGATATCTTATTCTCATCTTGGTTTAGATTTTCCTGACAATAAGTGATGATGAGAACACTATTTTCCAATGCCCACTGGCCATCTATCTTCAGAGAGTTCTCTCTTTAGCTTCTCTCCTCATTTTTGATAGGGCTATTGAATTTTATCAGGTGTATTAAACCCGAAATTCTGAATTTTTAAAAGCTATCCCTGGACCAAAGGCTTGCTATGGAGATAGTTGATCCATGTTCAGTCCCAGAACTGCATTTTACATTCAAGCGCAACCAAGAACCTGCAAGAGTGAGCACAGACTGATAACCGTGTTACCCCTCCCAAAACAAAAATAATTAAAAAAAAAACATAAATCAAGTTCTAAAAAATTCACCAAGTCATTTTAATTCAATTCCCTCACCTCTTTCATTGATAGGAGGCAAGATGTCACCGACGCCAGTTGAACCCCTCACGCTCTCCCAATTCTGGCTCACCACTGCTGCTGCTTTGTGGGATTGGGACAGAGTGGCATCTGTGGGATGAGGAAAGACAGTGCCAGGGGCTCCCACTGCATCACCGCCTCCCCCAGCTGGGCCAAGTCACAGCACCATGGAGTGTGGAGCAGCGACAGTGGCCCTCGCAGTGACTTGTCCACTGCTGGATGCTGTCCACCAACCACTGAGTGACTTGGGACTCGGCACAGGTGTTCGACCTGGCACAGACCCTATGTGATGGGATCTTGCTCTGCCATTCACCTCAGATGCCCCAGGTGCTGCCCGGAGATGCAGGCAGGTGCTTGTTGTCAGTGTACAAATTATTACAGCAGGCCGGTCGCTGGTCACCAGGAGCTTACATTTGGTTGACTCGGAACACCTGCAGGGACAATTAGAGATTGCCCCAAAAGTCTCTGTCTTCCCCCCAGAGAGCTTGGCAAGCTACCAAGGGTATCCAGATTGCACAGCAGAGCCTGGCAAGCTAGCCATAACGTACCAAATATGCCAACAACAGTAGCTAAAATAGGTCTCATTTCCCTTATCCTGAAGGAGTCCCTAGCTAAGATGGGAAGAACGAGAGGGCTCGTATTAAGCAGTGCAAGTCAACGTGCCCCACAAGCAACTAGCCACAAAGGCGCCCCATAAGAGCACATCAGTCATGGGTGGCGTGAAGAAGCTGCACCGCTACAGGCCCGACACTGTGGCACTACAGGAGATCCACCAGCTGCCATTCCAGCTGCTGACGCTCGAGATCACGAAGGATTTCAAGACCAACCTGCGCTCCCAGAGCTCGGCAGTCATGGCACTGCAGGAGGCGTGCAAGGCCTACCTGGTGGGACTCTTCAAACACGAACCTCTGCATATTTCCTACCAAGTGCATCACCATTATGCCCAAGGACATCCAGCTGGCATGCTGCATCCACGGAGAGAGGGCATAAAGTTTACGATGCTAAAATCTCAGAGTTGGGACAAATGGAGATGCTACTAGAGCCTGCTCAAGTAATTGATGATTAACGGGATGACAGGGACACATCTTTCATTGTGTTGGAGGCTGTGAGATGCTGTGAGCAGACATGCACCAGCAGTGGCTGCATCTTTCCATCCCGTGTGTGGGAGGAATGATTGCTGCAGGGATGCGGGGCGGGTAGGGTGCTATGGACTGGACCCGCGGCTCTTCTCTCTGTGTCCTCACAGACAACTCATCTGACAACTCACCAAACAAATTTAGTTGTTATTTGCGTTTTCTTTTTCCATGAATCAAGATGAATGACCTAGGTTATTTAATAGCACCCAAAGGTTTCCCCTCCCGCCCTGCCCCAGAACTGAATTATGCTTATTCAGCTGTATTTAAAATGCAGAAATCTGTTTTTCATAAGACATAAGATTCTACAAATTACTTTTTGGCAGAGAAAAATAATGTCATCACAGAAATTATTTTGTTATTTGAAAATATCATTTGGAAGAATCATGCTGTCAAAGTGTTTTTATTTAAAATACTTGAGGAACTTGAGTGAAATGTCCTTGTGGTAACCTGAAAACTAGATTTTTGGTGGCTATCATAAAGTAGCATATACAAACATTGTAAAGTATAAAACTATGAAACTATATATCTGAAACTCATGCAGTATTGTACACTAGTATTACCTTCGTTAAAAAGGATGGAGAACTGAGCTCATTTTCACAAGTATATTTATGTTGGCATACTTCCAATTTCAGTTACTGAAACACTTTTTACTTTAAGAGAAATGTTCCCAAATAACTGGTGAAGTGGTCCTGGTGTTTGTGAGAACAGAAGAATCTCTCCTTTGATGCAATCTCTGAGTAGTTTTACAATTGAACATCTGGAAGTAAAGTCTCAAAAGTCAGAATACTTTTCTGGCAATTTAAAAATAGTGGTGTGTCAACCAGTTGATCCTAATATCATCATTTTTCAGTGATTACTGGTAGAAAACAGACTTTGAAACATGTCAACTTATCTGAGGTAAAACCTATTGAACGTTAAGTTGATGAAAACCAAATCAAGGATTTCCAAAGGAACACAAAAGGCCAAACTTCCAGTGTCAAGTTTTTTTCTGCTACTTACATCATGACACACAGAAGATGTGTAAAAGCTGTAACCAGTGTGACACCACAAAGTGGATCAAGATTTTTGGCGAAGGGACTAAGGTCATAGTAATTTCCCGAGGTAAGTCGCATTTCTGTTTTTAGTTTTGCAGTGAAAACTGATAGATGCATTGTTTTTAAAAGCAAATTTAAGATCACTATGATCTGTCTGCCATATTCTGCCCTCTGTGATCAGTAATTTTGAAGTCTGGTAAACTATATGTAAATTACACTGTCTTTTAAATGATTACTTCCTTGCATGTGAGCAGACTAAAATGTCAGATTTAGATGTCATAAGACAATATAAACATGGATAGATGCTATAGAAATTAAAATATCTGGGCACCACATTTGTAACCATTGATATAGGTTATTGATCTGAGAAACTTTCCTTGTAGAAAGTGTTTTAAATGAGATATTTTATTATTTCTTCTCTGTATCTGATTTAAAGTGTAGAGGTCTTCTCTTTTAATAACTGAACAAAACCTGTTATTGATATTGATCTTATCTTTAACAGTGATAAAAGTGATCAAAAATATTCTTATAGTAAATGGCTATAGAATATGAAAGAATTCCACTTACTCTTATGACTCTAACTTCTTACAAGGTGGGCTTAGTCCTGTTGTGATTGTAGCTCTTGCTAGATTGCCTAGAAATGGGCCAGTTTAATGAACTGTGTGAATTCAATAAGCCATTTCATTTCCTAAGTCTATGAAAAGGTTTATCATCATTTTACATTTTCATTTGTCCATTATATGTTATTATATATAAATATATGCATATGATATAAACATATTATCTAAAAAGTATGTTCTCGACGGGTTGGGGCAATAGCACAGTGGGTAGGGCTTTTGCCTTGCACGCAGCCAACATGGCTGACCCAAGTTCGATTCTTCCGCCCCTCTTGGAGAGCCCGGCAAGCTACGGAGAGTATCTCGCCCGCCTGGCAAAGCCTGGCAAGCTACCCGTGATGTATTCGATATGCCAAACACAGTAACAACAAGTCTCACAATGTATATGTTACTGGGCCCACTCGAGTAAATTGATGAACAATGGGAGGATCGTGATATTCTCGACATTTTATTGAAAATAATTTTTGTGCCAAATATTGGAGATAAAAGAGATAATAAGACAATTCTCTAATTCCTCCAAATTTCTAGACTAGCAGATCAACATTTTAAATTGTGTCTCTTTTGAGAGCAGCAAGCATGGTGGAATGCCTTATAATCTTGAGCTCTCTTCCTTTCAACTCCATCATGCTGAATCTGCATTTATCATATCCTCAAAATATTATTCTTATGATATTTCTATACATTGAAAAGTGATTTGATATCTTTTTTTTAAATAATTTATTTCTTTATTGAATCACTGTGGGAAAAGTTACAGAGCTTTCGGGTTTAGGTCTCAGTCATGTAAATATCAAACACATTTCCCTTTACCAATACTTATTTTTAACTACAAACCCCAATAGAACCCCACCTCCCACCCCTCCCAATTCCTGTGAGGCAGATGAGTTCTAGTTAATACTCTATCTACTTTGACTAGATACATTGTTTCGATAGAAGATGCACAATTATTGTTTAGAGTTTACGACCCCCCTCCCCCCAATCAGACATGCTGAAACAGCGTTGTGAAATGATTTGCTTTCTACAGCTGGGTTTAAGAATAAAATGATGTCGTGGCCACGCGGTTTTGGATTTCTGCTATTTTACTTATTAACCTTGGAAGTATTTCTATTAAAAGTTAGATAGTTAAGAGATTGGTTTCTGTGCTCTGGAGTCGTGGCCGTGCCGGAGAGCCGCTCGTGGGGGGCAGCTGGTGACCTCGGTCGGGCGTGAAGGACGGCCCAGAACGCCCCCCCCCCTTCCCATGAGGTCCCTGCCACCCCCACCCCCGGCTCAAACCTGCTGTCCACAAGGCTCCCGTGCGGCCGCCATCTTTCTTTCCAGAGAGCCAAAAAGTGATTTGATACCTTTTATTCAATTTTCCTTCTCTAGCAGCATCAGTAGTATTAGAGATACAGAAGCTAGTAAAGGTGCTGTAGATTATACTAAATTTCTTTACCAAATTAAATAACTTGGAGCTCACGTTACACTCTTAAATAACTGAAAAATTAGTAAACAGGACAGAATTAAAATTTCTAGTAAAAGTACCAGAAATTAATTAGGTTGTGCTGTTTAAATAGATTGTGCTTAAATATTTAAATAGAATTTAAATTGCGCTGCAGCCTTTTCCTTTGGGTAACACAAATGAACTGCTTCTTTAAAGACTGTTGGCACATTTTAAGTTGTATCCACCATTTTCTTTCTAAATACTAGGATTTTGGAGAAGACAAATAATTGTTTATTAACTTGGGATTTGGGAAATTATAGTTCTGTAACATGACTTTCAAAAGATCTTTTGAAAATTCTAGAAAAACTGGAGCCCAGTTGGAAGGTAAAAAACTTTACTGGAACTGGTTTGTATGCTTCATTCTCTTCAGTCTTGTTACAACCCCCAAATACTGAATTCATATAAGGGAACCCTAAGCTAAAAATGTCATATTGAATAACAGTCATCCTAAACATATTTCTTCTACTGATGATAGTTTCTTATTTCCAAAGCAAGTTTAGTTAATTACTTTACATATCCCATTTCATTTCGATCTTACTATTCTGGAATTTGCATAGATTTGAACTAATTTTTTTTCAGATTAATAAACACCATTTTAATATAATTAGTATAATATAATATAATTAATATTAATATTCATCCATGGAACTTACAAGAAAATAAACCAGAACAAAAACCTGGCCTTGTGAATCATGTAGCTCTGTCCTCCCGTTGTTCATTGATTTGCTCGAGGAGGCACCAGTAACATCTCCATTGTGAAACTTCTTACTGTTTTTGGCATATCAAATATGCCACGGGGAGCTTGCCAATCTCTGCCATGTGGGTGGGATACTCTCAGTAGATTGCCAGGCTCTCCAAGAGGGATGGAGGAATCTAACACAGGTCGGTCTCGTGCAAGGCAAACGCCCTACTCGCTGTACCCTACTCCAGTCAAACTATAGGTGTGCAACTGTATGTGTTTATGTATCTCTGTATGTGTCTCTATGTGTCTATATTTGTGTATGTATGTGTCTGTCTATATTGAAATCTGTGTGTCTTACTCTGTGTCTATATGTGTCTCTGTGTGTACATGTTTGTGTACATGTACTCTGTGTGTTTTTGTGTACCTATTTGTGTTTCTGAGTTCATGTCTGTGTGTCTCTGTGTATGTCTCTGTGTATCTACATGTGTGTCTGTGTATATGTATGTGTGTGTCTGTATGTGCATGTGGGTGTGTAGCTGTGTATATTTGTGTGTGTCTCTGTATATATGTCTGATTCTCTTTTTAATCAGGTTTGTGTACATCTTGGTATATGTTTATGTATCTGTGTGTATCTGTGTATGTCACTGTGTACATTTGTGTATTTGTGTCTGTGTTTCTCTGTGTGTAAATTTCCATTGTCTTGTGTGCATGTAGACACTATATGTATGTGTGTGCCATATGGTGGTCTGCATATATGGCTGTGTGTCTATATGTCTCTGTGTGCCATTTTGTGTATATATGTTTGTGTATATGTCTAAGTGTTTACGTCTGCATATGTCTGTGTGTGTCTATGTATTATATCTATGAATTTCTGTGTATATTTGGGTGTATACTTGTGAATCATAGACCACCAAAACTTTCTGCAACTCCAAGAAGCTAAAATAGTCTAAGGTTTTTAAAAGGGGTTGAATCACTGTGAAACTACTGGGAAAGTCTTTGGTGGTGGAACCAAGCTTGTTATCACAGGTATGTACCAGATCGAAGGGAATTGAAGGGAAGTCAGGAAATGATCATATTAGAATAATAAATAGTAAAATTTTTAGAAAAACCTGAGGACAATGGGAATTATATGCTGAGCTCTGAACTGGGGATAGTCAGAGTCTAGGGCATGAACCTGGAGTGCAACCGCTCACCTTCTGTGCCCAGCGACACAGGATCCCCCAGCATCTTTGCATGCATTCCTGAACACTGAAAGCTGGTTGGGATAGTCCTGGGAGCCCCACCCCCAAGTCATAAAGTAAAAATAGAGGCTGGACTAGGAGGAGATACTTTAAACCAAATAATTCTAGTAAAACACATTTTGGACATGTGAAAATATTTGGTAGGTTCAGCTGTGTCTACATGTCAATGTGTGCAGAGTGTTGGCACTTGATGTATGCTGCCATCCTGCAAGTGTATAGTTCAAACAGGTAAGTTTTGTGAGATGACACATTACTTTTCTGATGGGAAAGTTATAAAAGAACTTTGGAGTTGGCTGACCTGGAGCCTTGACACCATCAGTTACCAGTTATGTGAACCAGGGTGAGTGGTCTCTGGCCTCAGTCTCCTAATCCGTGAAACAGGAAAGCAATATCCAGTTGGGACTGTATGAAAAACTGAATGTGAATAAAGTACTTGTCACATTGTCCAACACATAGAAAGTATTGAATAAGAGCTCTATTAATTGGAATAAAAACAAAGAGAGATTTATACGCAGCATAGAGTTTGTTTGCAACCAGTATTATTGACAGCAGAAATTCCTCAGGACTTCAGATGTACTTCTGAACTGTTAAAATGAAGAATTATTTAAATTTTCACTCATAACAATTTCCTGTAGTGAATATTTTCACTGTATTGGACCAAAAAGTTTAAGATGTATTTGCATTTTTTTCTTGTTTTATGTGCTATAAATCATAATTAATTCCTCAGTTTAATTGATAGCATCACTATAACCATAATATATTGTCCTTTAAATTTGTAACAAATAAATAAGGATTTTACAGATGAAAGCATGGGTTTTGCATGTTTATCAGAAAAAAATATATAGGAAAAAATTTAAGACATAAAATTACAAATATTTGAAAATTTAAATATTAAATCATTACACAATAATTTATTGATAAAAGAAGTAAATAAAATGTAAAACAAAAATCAGTATTGTTATCAATATTAGATTAAAATTTTATTTCAATTAAATGTAATTGACATTTGTAAATTTATATAAATTTTTACTCCTACATCTGAATGAAATATAAACAACTCAGATAATATACTTGAATAATATTATTTATGTAAACAAATACATGTTAATAATTTTGAAATGTTTTTATTTTACCTGGTTTACCTTTTATGTACAATAGAAATCATTTCAACCACACCAAAACACTGCTAATAAGCTTACAAAACGTATCTAAAGAAAAAAATTAATATGTAATTTCAAAAGTATAGGCATTAACCACATATGGTTAAGTGTATTGTATAATACGCAATAAATATTAATAAATTCATTGATTAATATTGACTATATCCTGAATGAAAAAGTGAAATAAATGGTGTACCTAGGGAAAGGGTAAGGCAATAAGAATAGTGTTGTAAAATGCTTTAAAATTAAAAGGCCCTCCCGTTGATCGTCGATTTGCTCGAGCGGGCCCAGTAACGTCTCCATTGGAGACTTTGTTGTTACTGTGTCTGGCATATCGAATACTCTCGGTAGCTTGCCGGGCTCTCTGAGAGGGGCGGAGGAATAGAACTCGGGTCTGCCATGTTGGCGGCTTGTAAGGCGAACGCCCTACCCGCTGTGCTATTTTCCTTAGTATAATGTTTCGGTAGTATTCCTACAAAGAAGCAAGGATTCCTGGAAATAATTAGAATTCTTACATACTCATGCATAAGAATAGATGTACATAAGAATAGATATGCGTGTACTTGTTTTCGGGGCTTGCCCGTTCATGCTCTGTTCACACCTGGTGGTGTTGGAACTGTATGTGGTGCTGGGGATTGAGCCCAGGTTGGCTGCATGAAAGGAAAGTGCCTTACTTGCTGCTCTGCCCTCGAATTCCAGAGTCTTCAATATATTGGCAGCCAAAACTATCTAAGCATATAGTTAAATTAAAAATAATCCTACATAACATTTCAAAACTTAAAAACAAAGTATATAGTTGGAGATATACTGTATTATCACTATAATCGATGAAATGATACCACTAAAAGCCGACTGACTAAAATTGATGTAAGCATATTATTGCTTATTTATATTTACAATATGACTTAAAACCCAGTACTACTTGCATATAGATCTAGTAAAATATCAGAAGTTTTGCTGCAAAGACAGAAATCCTCAAGAATTTTTTTCCTTTTTTTCTCAAATGAGAAATATAAAATTGCCCACTGACTTTTAAACTTGTTCAAAATTTGTTCAAAGATATTAACAAAGCATTTGATTTTCTTTGAAAATAGAATTAGAGTCTAATATTTCAATCATTGTATTGGGAATGAGTGTACTATAAAATTGCTGATTATCATTGAAGCAATATATGTATATATCTTTGTAATTTTTTAATGTATTTTGACATTATGTGTGCAAGAAACTTTGGAAAAAGTACAAAATTTCACCAAAAATAAATACACTTTATTCAGCAGCTAGGAAGAAAATGCTAGACCCCATGACAATTTGAGAAATCTTATATTATGAACAATTTTCAGGGGAAACAAACATTTTTGTTTTGGTATCAAAGATCAAATCCAGAGTCTCATACATGCAAACCACACTCTCCAACTTTGAACTACAAGCCTAACCTTGAAATTCCACAGAAAAAATGTTCTTTTAGCAAACATTTGCTATAGTGAAATAAAATTCTGTTAAGTACATTACTTGAAAAGATTAATAGAGAATAATTTTATTAATCTGAAATTAACAGTTACATTTTAAAAGACATCTTGGAAATATTCTTTGCTTCCATATCGTGACAAAGAAAATAATCTTGAAGTTTAGCCTTAACAACATACACAAAAAAAAACCGAGCAAGGTTCAGATATTAGACTGAAGTGTTGTAGTAAAATGAAAATTGCCAAGTGAGCTTTATTACTTCCAAGCTGGGATTAGAATGCACATTTGAAACTAAAAGCTGAACTTGATGAATTTTAACCCACAGCTTGAAGCAGAGTTCCATTAATAGATGTTACTGTGTTGTTTAAAACAGTCGTTTTCAATCTTTTTATATCTGTAGGCTACTAAGCACTGCAGCACTGTCCTCCCATTGTTCTCGATTTGCTCGAACAGGCCCAGTAACATCTCCATTGTGAGACTTGCTATTATTGTGTTTGGCATATCAAATATGCCACGGTAGCTTGCCAGGCTTTGCCGTGTGGGCGAGATACTCTCGGTAGCTTGCCAGGCTCTCTGAGAGGGGTGGAGCAATTGAACCTGGTGGAGGAATCGAACCTGGGCTGACCGGGTGAGCAAGGCAAACGCCCTAGCTGCAGGAGAAATATTTTGATAAGGCAGAAATGAAAACAATTACAGTAAGAACATGTACATGTGTAGCTAGAGCAGGTGAGGTACTTGTCTTGGATGTGGCCAACCTGGTTTCTATCTCAGGAACCACAAATTGTCCCTCAAACCTCTGAATACAGAGCCAGAAGTAAACCCTGAGAACATCTGTGTAGGAACTCCAAACCAAAGGAAAATGAAAACTCTATTGTATTTCAATACTTACTAAGGTACCTCTATATGATCCAAACTTATCATATGTTAGTAATAACCTTTTTATAGTTCTGTAACCTGACAGCAGTCCTTGGTTTAAACTACTAACTTAAAAATGATAAATAGAGGCTGGAGTGATAGCACAGTGGGTAGGCCGTTTGCCTTGCACGTGGCCAACCTGGGTTTGATTCCCAGCATCCCATATGGTCCCCTGAACACCGCCGGAGTAATTCCTGAATGCAAAGTCAGTAGTAACCCCTGAGCATTGCAAGGTGTGACCCAAAATGGGGAGGGGGGGGAAGATAGACATCCTCCTGGTATTTATATTATAAACGAAATAAAATGGTGCATTCCAGATTTAGTTAAAGAAAGAGTGATGTTATGCAGGATTACAGAGTAAGGAAGTGTGTTATTTTTCAGAGCACTTATAGCGAATTTATGATATGTGAAAGAAATGACATTAGAACCTACCAAAAGCATTGGCCTGTAAAGTGGCCATCAACGAACTAAGTATCCTCTCTCATTCTTACACTGTCTACTCCATATCCCTTGTCAAGATGCTCCACTAGATAGAACAATGAAAGCTTTTCAAAATGCATGAGCTTGAGAATGCTGAAAACCTGATATTAGATGGTTCAAAGTTGTTCCACGAGCTGGAGAGATGGTGCAGAAGGTAAGGTACTTGCCTTGCAGGGACTAAGCCTGCCTTCACGAGGCCCTGTGGGCACTGTGACCCCTGACCACAGAGCCAGGAGTAACCCTGCTAACACACATGCAATCCCACCCCTGCCAACAGACAAAGTCGTACCTGTCATTAGCATGTGGAGAAAGGACAAAAGACAATTTTTCATTCAGGTTCTGAAACCTAGTAGTTGTGACTTTGGAAAAATTAAATAACATGTTCAATATCTTTTCCCATTGAAAATAAGGACAATAATAAGTAGCTAGCTGTAATGAGTAGCTAATCAGTAGCTATGTGATTTCATGAGGACATAAAGCACAATGGCAGCTCTTATTCCTTTTGTTGTGCTCTAAGTTGTTCCAAGCCACACAATACTTGTGTTCCCCAAATAATGCTTTTAAATTACTATTCCGCTTCCTCTCACAGATAGACTTGATGGAGATTTTTCTCCCAAGCCCACTGTTTTTCTTCCTTCACCTGCTGAAATAAACCTCCATAAGACTGGAACCTATCTCTGTCTTCTTGAGAGTTTTTTCCCTGATGTAATCAAGATAGATTGGAAAGAAGAGAACAGCGATACGGTGCTGAACTCCCAGCAAGGAGAAACCATGAAGACTGGGCACACCTACATGAAATTCAGCTGGCTGACAGTGACCGGGCAGTCGATGGATAAAATACACAAATGTATCGTCAAACATGAGTTTAACAGAAGAGGGGTTGATCAGGAGATTCTCTTTCCTTCAGTAAAGGAAGGTAGGTGTATATATAAATACAAGTTCCCAACCATTCCCACCCTTAGAGAATCCCTGTCTTTTCTGACAGGTACTAATAAAAAATAAGAAAATGCAAATTTTTTAAAAACATTGCTACACTTAATATCAGCATGCTTATTCTATTTCTCACATAATAAGATTGTATGAAATTTAGAATTTAATAAAGATGGCTCTTTCCACTTTCATCATACGGAATACTGAGGTCAGAAATGCTGTTTTTAGGAAAGTGCTATACACTAATGGAATAAGATCCTTGGGGACATATAGTAGCTTAGCACACAATAAATGTTCAGAAGGAAAGACTCCTTTTGATAATCTTGATTTTGAAATAAGAACAATGATATGTCTTTCAGGAATGTTTTACTCAGAAAACAAAATTACATTTTACCACTCTTCCTATACTAAATGTGTACCTCTATTCTATGAACTGTTGGGCTACACAATGGGCTTGACAAAAGGATCTCATCAAGCCCAACAAAATAGAATAATTTGGCTCCTGAAGTTATAGTGTGGCCTTATTTTGGGGGGATTCTTTTTAGTTATTTACTTTTATGTTGAGTTATGGTGAGATATACCATTACAAAGCTGTTCATGATGGGGTTTCAATCATACAATGTTCCATCACCCATCCCTCCACCAGTGTACATTTCCCACCAACAATGTCTACAGTATCCCTCCCATTCCACCACCCAGCCTGCCTCTATGGCAGGTAGTTTTCTTCTCTCTCTCTCTCTCTCTCTCTCTCTCTCTCTCTCTCTCTCTCTCTCTCTCTCTTTCTCTCTCACTCTCTCTCCTTTTGGGCATTATGGTTTGCAATACAGATACTGAGAGGTTTTCATGTTTGTTCCTTTACCTTCTTTGAGCATGCAGTTCTTATCCAGAGTGATCATTTCCAACTATCATTGCCATAGTGGTTCCTTCTCTATCCCAACTTCCCTCTTCTTCAGCTCCTGAGGAAGGCTTCCAACTGTGTGCTACCTGTGATTCTACTGTCCATGGGTATTAGTCTCATACTATATATTTTTATGGCCCACAAAAGAGTGCAACCATTGTATGTCTGTCCAGTAGGGGATTTTGTTGTTGTTGTTTTTGGGCCATACCTGGCTATGCCAGGGCTTACTCCTGGCTCTGTGCTCTGGATCCTGGCAGTGCTTGAAGAACCATGTAGGGTACCAGGGATTCAACCTGGGTCAGCCCAGTGCAGGGAAAATGTTTTACTCTCTATACTATCTCTCCAGCATCTTTCATGTTCATCTTTTACCTTCCATGTGTTGTAGCATATCATACTAAAGATAGGTGATGCTAGTGCATACAAATGTATTTCTGTAATACATAATGTATACACTATTTGCCATTGACTAAAAAGTATTCATGTACCAGACATGAAGAAATATATGAGTAAATCACTAGGATGAATTGCTCTTGAGAAAAGAGCTTCCCCCCCACCACTCCCATTTCCCTGACAATCGATAACACAGAACAAAAATTTTTTTTTCAAGTTTTGATCTTTGAGTCATACCTGTCAGTGCTCAGGCCTTACTCCTGGCTATGTACTCAGGAATCACTCCTGGAGTTGCTCAGGGGACAATATGAGGTGACAGGGATTGAACCCAGAGACCTTATCTATCTAATATTCTATCATTGCAGCCCAAGATAAAAACTATTTTAAAGAATAGAAAAGACGCACATAAAAAAACATGTTTAAAACTTTGTTGTGCATGAAGGAATTTTTGAATAATTTATCTTCTTAGATACTAAACTTCCTCAAAGATAAAATTCGAACAGAAAATTTTCCTTTTTTCTCATGGAATCATAAATTTTTTTAAAAAACTAAGGGAGAAGTATGCTAAAAGTAGTCTATAGAACAAACATGATTGCCACTCAATGCCTCTCTTGCAAAACACAGTACCCAAAAAAAGAGAGAGAGAACAAGGGGTAATACCCTGCCACAGAGGCAGGATGGGACGGGGGGATGGGGGGAGGGGGGATGCTGGGACCCATGGTGATGGATGACGGGCACTGGTGGAGGGATGGGCACTTGATCATGGTATAACTGAAACCCAAGCACAAAATTTGTAAGTCTATAACTGTACCTCATGGTGTTTCACTAATAAAAAAAGAAAAAAAGAATAATTAATATTGTGAAAATTCCAATCCTACCCAAAATCAACAGATTCAATGTGTATAATCAAAAAAATAAAAAACTAAGCTACACCAAAGAAAATATCTGCTTTCAAAATATACCATGAATGCCATTTATTCATTATATTTTATTTATTTTTATCCTTTCCTAAAATGAATTAAGTAGAAAAAAGGGGCCCCAAGTGTATTTATTTCTATGCCCCAGAAACAAAATCATATTCAAATGATAGATTTATTATAACCATTGTGCTTTAGTGTCCCATTAGATTTTTACTTCTTGAGGGGTCAAGGAAAAGTAAGAAATATATTAGTTCCATGATGATGATTATCATGAAGAGTTTTCTATACAAACGTTTTTAACTTGCACTGAATGCTGAAACAATGTCTTTCATGTACTTCTGTGAGGACAGAGCCAATGAACATAATTCTATGTGAAGTGGCACTTGAAAATTTCAATGTTAATTCTTGGAACTTTTGTTGTATCAAGACAAAAATCTAACAGTAGGATATCACGATCCTCCCATTGTTCATCAATTTGCTCCAGTGGGCCCAGTAACGTCTTCATCGTGAGACTTGTTGTTACTGTTTTTGGCATATCTAATACATCACGGGTAGCTTGCCAGGCTCTGTCATGCGGGCGAGATACTCTTGGTAGCTTGCGGGGCTCTCCAAGAGGGGCAGGGGAATCGAATTCGGGTTGGCCATCTTGGCCGCTTGTAAGGCAAACACCCTACCGCTGTGCTATCGCTCTAGCCCAACAATAGGATATAGAGGCAAAAATCACTGAGGGACTGCATCTTAAACTAATCTCATCAGAGTGTTCAATCAACATTGGTAAGAGAGTTTGGCATATGAACTCGGGTTTTGTTATACATGATTGCAACATTCTGTGTTCGTGTCAGTAAATGCATGATGATAAGAAGTTTTATTTATATTTTAATGAATGGATTTATTGCAATTTATAGGAAAGAGGCATTTAAGTCACATTAATGACTATTCTTGAGAATAATTTGACATTTGAATATAATAGTAATAGGCTTTTGGAATTTACCCAAAGTCTATATATCTTAAACCATTTTAAAAAATGTACCACGCGCTAGCACAGTGGTAGGGCGTTTGCCTTGCACGCAGCCAACATGGCCGACCCGAGTTCGATTCCTCCGCCCCTCTCGGAGAGCCCGGCAAGCTACCGAGAGTATCTCACCCGCCCAGCAGAGCCTGGCAAGCTCCCCGTGATGTATTCGATATGCCAAACACAGTAACAACAAAGTCTCCAATGGAGACGTTACTGGGCCCGCTTGAGCAAATCGATGATCAACGGGAGGGCCTTTACTTTACTTTACTTTACTTTACTTTAAAAAAATGTGCCTATAAAAGAGCTTACTCGAGGTGCCTGCTATAGAGGCAGGCAAGGGTGGGGGGTGGCTTTAAGGGGTAGGAGGGAAACTGAGGACACTGGTGCTGGAAAATTACACTGGTGGGTGTTGGAATGTTGTACGACTGAAACAAAATCATGAACAATTTTGTAATGCTCTATCTCACAGTGATTCAATAAAAAAATTTTAAAAAGATTTCACTCAATGTGAAATTGCACAGCATAACCATATTTATAAGTGCTAGCATATATTTGGTAGGAAAAGGATAGAGAAAAGAAACCATGAGAACTGTTTTCTTCCATATAACTATGAGATTTTCAAAACAATTTGAAAACTTGTATATATGTTTAGCTTTTGCTGTTTATTTTTACATTGTAGATAAGTGTAATTCTCAGCTCAGGTTGCATGTAACCATGAAACTCTATAAAACTTGGTCTATCTTTCAATTATTCAAACTACTTACATCAAAATACTGAATTTATATAATTAAAAAGTCATTGTCTAAGAATAGTTAATATATGTGTAGGAAAGATATTGTATTGTCCATCATAGTACCATTATGTTGCATCTTTTTAGTATATTTGCTTTTTTTTTAAGGTTATAGAGTAAAAAATACCTTCATGTGCTCTTATTTCATTTCATCCCCTCAATGAACTTTTGACGATCCAGCTCTGCCAATCAGTATTATAACTTTGGGCAAGTTACTTGAACTCTTTAAGCAGCCTTATTTTCTTGTTTTTAACCTAGTCATCTCCAAAATACAACTCAATTTATTGTTATTGAAAGATAAAATGAGATGATACATTGTGAAAAATTTAACAATGTATATTCAGTGGGTATTACTCTTTTAAATATTGTTTTCATATTCACACTGCTTGACTGCCTCTTCCCAATAAAAACTTGAGCATGAATTACAGATGTGATGATTTGGAAAGGTATGACTGCTTTCCCCTGCTTAGAAGAGAAATTTTCCTAGACCAGAATTCTCCAAACCTTGAGAACCTGTTTCTGATTCTAGGATTTAACTACTTCATCTTGTTTGTATTTGTGTTTGTTTTGGGAGGACAATCATTGATACTCAGGGCTTACTCCTAGCTCTGCACTCAGGAATCACTTCCGGCAGGGCTCTGCAGATTATACGTGGTGCCATGCATCAAACTTGGGTCAGCCACATGTATGACAGGCACCCTACCAGGCCTTGACTAGGGCATTTTGGTAGAAGCATGCTTTATGTTAACAATGTAATGCTGAAGAGTATGAAGTGATCTTTTTTTTTCCTATCTTAGTCAAGCAACATTTATCAAATACCTACTTTGAGGCAAGCACCATTATAGGAGCTATAACTACTGCAGAAAAACATGGGTATACTACTCCAAATGTGATAAAAGATGAAAGTGGTAAGTTTTTGTACTTGTTTGTATTTATATCATGTTATAGCATATTTTCTTTTTATTTATTTACTTTTAAAATTTTATTGAATAATCATGAGATAGTTGTAAGCTTTCATGTTTGGGTTACAATCTCACAATGATCAAACACCCATCCCTCTTCCAGTGCACATTCCCCACCACCAATATCCCTGGTATACCCACATTTTCCACCCTTCCCCTGCCTCCGTGGCAGAGAATATTCCCCATACTCTCTCTCTACTTTTGGGCATTACGGTTTGCAATGCAGACTCTGAGAGGTTATCATGTTTGGTCCATTATCTACACATCTCCCATCCTGACCAGTTCCTCCAGATCATTTTCTTAGTGATCCCTACTCTATTCCATCTGCCTTCTCCACTTTGTTCATGAGGCAGACTTCCAGTTATGGAGCAATCTTCCTGTCCCATATATCTATTATCCTTACGTGTCATGTTGTATAGCATATTTTTCCTTACTAAACAGCTTAACTTTGATTTTTCCTGTTGTTGTTTTTTAAATAGCCGCTTTTTGTATACCAGACAAAACAATATTTTAAGTCAAACTATCATTTTCTGGAGTAATTTTAATATGGTAAATGCTGGTGGTTTTCATTTTTCTTTTTGGGTCACACCCAGTGATACACAGAGGTTACTCCTGGATCTCCACTCAGGAATTACTTCTGGTAGTGGTCAGGGGACCATATGGAATGCTGGGAATTGAACTCTGGTTTGCCGCGTGTAAGGCTAATGCTTTCCCTGCTGTGCTATCGCTCCAGCCCCATTAATTCTGGTTTTCATACAAGTTACTTTAAATTACTTTGTGTATTACAAAGATGGAAGTAAATCAGATTGTCAGGATATTTATGGCTTAAATAATCTTTAAAATATCTTTTAAGCAGTGCTGGTGTAGAGCAGGGACCACTTCTGGAGATTCCTTTATTTTTTTTTTTTTTTTAATTTTTATTAGTGAGACACCATGAGGTACAGTTGTAGACTAACAAATTTTGTGCTTGGGTTTCAATTATACAATGATTAAGTACCCATCCCTCCACCAGTGTCCATTTCCCACCACCACAGATCCCAGTATCCCTCCCATCCCCCATCCCCCCCATCCTACCCTGAGTCTGTGGCAGGGCATTCCCCTCTGTTCTCTCTCTCCTTTTGGGTGTTGTGGTTTGCAAAAGAGGCATTGAGTGGCAATCATGCTTGGTCTATAGTCTACATTCAGCATGCTTCTCCCATCCTGGGAGGATCCTCCCAACCCTCTTTATTTGGTGCTCCCTTCTCTATCTGAGCTGCCTTTTCCCCTAGCATGTGTTTTTTGAGCCACACCTGGCAGTCATCAGGAGTATTCCTGGTTCTGCTCTCAAGTGTAAGTCTGGCCAGTCCTGGGGCTCAGAGACCATATGTGGTGCTGGGGATTGAACCTGGGTTGGCTGCATACAAGGCAAGTGTCCTACCTGCTGTTCTATCGCTCTGGCCCTCTCCTCCTGGAGATTCTCAGAATGAGTGTGAATCTGAGGGGTCGGGAATCCTGAGTTAGGTGATGTGAAGTGATGTGGTCTCAGGGGTGCTAAGGGAGGGGAAATTGTGTGTTGCTGGGGAAGGGGTGAGCATGTAGTGCCAAGATCATTCAAACCTAGAGATCAGACTTGGTCAGCATGTGGGCTAGTGACTTCTCAACTTTCGTAAGTCTTTAGTCCATATTGTGCCTATAAGTAACAAAACAGATGAGCACCGAGAGCTTTGATACAGGTCATGGTGATATATTTGGAATATATTTGATTGTTGAATTTTTCTAGTTTTCCTAAGAGATAGTAGGATGTTTTCTCCCATTTTACGGATGAGAATATGAACTAAAACAACTAAGTCCTTAGATTATGGTAATGCAGTGCGCCTGGGTTTTTCCAGGCCATCTGAATTAAGAGTTCACCCACTTTGTTCTGTATTATTATTCTAATGTACAATCATAGAGCAAGAAATCTCATAGTTAAGTTCCTGAGACCCATGTAAGGAGGGTGGGTAAAGTGCCTGAGCTTTAGAGTACTACAGATTGAAATTTAACAAAAGTTTCACTGGAAGTCTTTGAATTGCTTGTTGCAAGAATATTGTGTGTGCTTTTTCCTTCATCTGCTTATTGATAATAATAGCACCTAACTCAATTATTGAAGAGATCAGGGTACCTGTTGCCAACACAGTATAGTGGCTCATTTGATTAGCACACAAAGAAATTGTCCAGAATCAAGGGCCCCCAACCCTGCTGTTTCTTCCTCCTGTTCTAAGATAAAGGGAGGTTTGGGCCTAGCAAGCACTTTGCCTGACCAAGAGGAGGAAGTTATAACCATATACACCCTCTTGCTATTTTGGCCCTAATATTAATGACTCTGGAGTTCAGACTCACTGTTGATGAAACATACAAAGGGTAAAAAAATATTACGTCTCTAATTCACTGACTATTGCTAATTTTTATTAACTTTGTATATTTCTTTCAAAATGTCAAAGAATATTAAGGCAATGACCTTATAAATTATAGCCAAAGTGCAAGACCTTCAGTTAAGGCAGATAAGTGACTCTAACATTTTACAGAATTCGTAACTACCATTTTGTTCCATCTTATATGATGTCTTCCTAATTAAAATCTCCTACACACTCCACTGGGAACACTACTAAATTTTTATCATTTGTTACATCTGGGACTTATTGCATGAGCAATATGCAATGATACAAATATTTCAAATCTACAGTTCAGCTCTATACTTATGTTTAATCTTTTGATGTCTTGTATATTTGTTTTTATGGAGATGCAAAATTATAAGGTAACTAAGAATAAGTTTTTAAACTCATGTTACTAGGTTGAAAGCTAGTATCTGATGTTTACTCAATGTATGATATCAGAAAAAGTATTTACTTTTCTGTCAGTAGCTTATTTGACAAATAATACAAAATATATAGATACAAAATTAAATAATATGGAGTTTTTGCATGCAGTTTTGAGAGTGACTGACAAGTAACTCTCAATAAGTTATAAATGCTTAAAGCCATTAATCACAATTTTCTTCCTCATTGAACTTAATATTAAAATGGAAGCTTTACATTTTAATATTTTTGAAAATGTTAACAATTTTTGGACCACACCCAGTGTTGCTCAGGGCTTACTCCTGGCTTGTGCTTGGAGGATACTAGAAGTGCTGGTGCCCAAAATTGAGCGCATGTCAGCCACATACAAGATAAGAACTTTACCTTGGTACTGTATCTCTGATCATCAGTATTTTTGAAAATTTTAAGAGAATTATTTAGAGATTTGTTTAAATTTATATGTAAGCTGTTGGTGATGATGGTGGGCATATTATGGTGGGATAAACATTTTTCTTTAATACTTGTCCTGTGGGATTGTCACTTCAGTATTAGTCATAAAATACAAATTCTTATTTCCCCATATCACCTCGTATGCCCTGTTCTTCCAAAAGAACCCTTGAAAGAAGTGAACGATATACTACGACTGCAGCGCTCCAACACCTCTGCCTATTATATCTACATTCTGCTTCTCTTCAAGAGCCTGATCTACTTCACCTGCACCATCTTTTATCTGTTCTGGAGAAAATCAGCTTGTAGCAACAGAAAGTTTTCATAACAGATGATGCCACTACGAAGAGGAAACGTTCCTTTATTGCTATCATCCCTTATAGTGTCTGCTGAGAATCTAGCTGCATTGTCTTTTGGATTTGTATGTTACTTCTGTTTACCTGATGATTTTCTTATTATGTTCTTATGGAGGGATGGTTTTTCAAGCCACAGGAAAATAGAACTTTTTTCTTATAACAAAACAAATTCTGCTATTACTCTGGGAGTGCCTGTGGGAGCAGCTCTGCATAAGGCCATTCTTTCTACAATTTCTATTGCTCCTCCAATCAATCTAATTAATTCTGCCTTCTGAGAAGAGAATGGAGATTTAGGGCATTATTCATTAGTGTCCTTTAACCTTAAAGATTACCATTTTATGTACCTTGAAATAATCATCAACTTTACTACTTGTATTACATATTTTCGTAATAAATTTTAAAATCTGTTCTAGTTTTTGAGTACTTTGTTTTGATGAAAACTCATTGAAATCCCAGGTTTAAAAAAACAAGCTGAGAAATGAGCTATAAAATTTAATATTGGTGACAACAATGTTTAATAAGATTTTTCTACTATGATGATTTTTGGGGACATTTTCTTTAAGAGAAATTATAGTGAAATATAGTCAATTATGGATACATAGGTAATTTCTCTGTCTACTGTTGTCTGGCTCAGATGCATTTGGTTTGTATTATTTCTATGGCAACTGTATAATGTCTACTATGAAAAAGCATTGTGTTACCAGGTCTACATTAGTGCTTCATGAGTATTTATGTCTCTTGGTCTTCAAAACAACCTCAAAAAGAGCTATGGAATGCAGACATGTAGCAGGGAGAGGAATCAGGATTCTAGGAACCTACTAAACTGGGTTTGCATGCTGGGTACATAAGTACTTGAACTCTTTGTGTCATAATTTTCTCATCTGTAAAATGAAGTAGTAATTTTCTGTCTCCTGAGGTTGTGTATGAGTTAATAAGTGAGTTGTTAAAGCTTAAAACATTCAAGTCCTCAGCAGCATTCCTCCGCCCCTCTCAGAGAGCCCGGCAAGCTACCGAGAGTATTCGATATGCCAGACACAGTAACAACAAAGTCTCCAATGGAGACGTTACTGGGCCCGCTCGAGCAAATCGACGATCAACGGGAGGGCCTTTACCTTAGTACTTACCATTACTATGAAAATAATAGATATCACGCACAATAAAAATCACCAACAATCATCTTTAATCTTATTTTTCTGTAGTGAGTTTCTGATATAGACAGGCAACTCCATTAATTCTCTATAAGCCCTTTGATGCAGGATTCTATATAATATAGGTTAGTCTATTAATAATGTATTAGACTCCTGCATCAGAAATCTCCTGGAGAATATAATACATTAATTTTTTAGAAACCCTTTTGATGCAAGAATCTATATTCCATTAGACTCTAGAGTTTATACACTGGAGAGATTAAGGAACCAGCTTCATGTCAAAGTTTTGTAAATATTCCTATGTGAAAGCCAAATATCTCAGACCCGTGAGGCCACATTTTGTAGCATAGTATGTTATGGCTTTCTGTTTATACTTTTAATCAGGAAGACTAAAACACAACAGGCACTGCTCCCTTATAAAGGCATCCAACAAGGAGTTGGTAGCATTATTTTAGGGGTTTATAAATGCATGTTTGGTTTCTTTGTTATATATGATGCATATTCTAATATTATCACAATTGCTCTTTTGTTGGGCTGGAGTGATAGCACAGTAGTTAGGGTGTTTGCCTTGCAAGCAGCCAACATGGCCGACCCGAGTTCAATTTCTCCACCCCTCTAAGAGAGCCTGGCAAGCTACCTAGAGTATCTCGCCCACACAGCAAAGCCTGGCAAGCTACCTGTGATGTATTAGATATGCCAAACACAGTAACAGTTGTCATAATGGAGACGCTACTGGACCCGCTCGAGCAAATCGATGAACAACGGGAGGGCAGTGACAGTGACAATTCTTTTGTTATCAATAACACTAAAATACTGCCATACTAAGTTATTATGCACTCTGGGCTTAGAGGTGTCAGAGAAATGGAACGGAATCTCAGGTGAAGTAAGAACACTGGGATTGTGACCTTCATAATCTAGTATGGAAAAGACTCTAGCATGTCAGGGTAAATTGCTGAGGTGGAGTTAGGTAACACTTCCTTCTTGACCCAGTTATTTTCTACCACTGCACAACTGTCATTTGCTCTGCTCTGACTATGGTGTATGTTGCCCTGCTTAAGTTTACCAGTCTTTAGAAGAAAGATTCATATGAATTGGTTGTCAATTCATAGTATAATTTAAAAATTCAACAATCAACATTCTAATAATAGTAAGGACTGTATGCTGCTAGTAAGCATCAAGTACTTTTCTAATTTGGTGTTAATTCTCACAAGAAGCCTATGAAATATGTACAATTAACTCGATAGTGAAATTGAAGCAATGCTATGGAATAACTCAGTTGTAAAGCAGCCAATGAAAAACAGAGATGGAATTTAACTAATTTAACTAACCCCAAATAGTCTAGTTTCTGGTACTTTGCTCAGAACTTTTATAGCAGTTGTAACTAATGCAGAAATGGCCTACTTACAGTTTAAATTAAAACAGAAAATATTCTTCCCTAGAAGAATAAGAGCTGGTGGATGGAACACTTTTTCATCCTTGATCCTGAGCTATTTAAAAAAATTAGAAGACCACAGGCCAAATTGCCACACAGTAGTTCAGAGTGGGAAGGAAGACCTTATATATGGCCTCCTGCCTCCTTGCATGATTATAATCCATGACACTTAGTTGGATAACATAAATGCCAAAACAGCTTGCATCCATAGATGTGCAATAGAAAAATAAAGCAAAATTTTATATAACTCCATAGTAATTCATTCACTCATGTCTCAAGAGTCTTACAGAGCTAGAATATTCCATACATTTATCAAGTAAAGAAAATGGAGGGGCTGGAGCAATAATACAGCGGGTAGGGTGTTTGCCTTGCACGTGGCTGACCCAGGTTAGATTCCCAGCATCCGATATGGTCCCCTAAGCACCGCCAGGAGTAATTCCTGAGTGTAAAGCCAGGAATAACCCCTGTGGATTGTCATGTATGACCCAAAAAGCAAAAAAAAAAGGAAACTATAGTGCAAACAAATGCTCCCTGTTATAAATTATTTCTACTGTTTGGGAATTCTTTTCTTCAAGTATTTCATTTTAAAGACTTTTATCTAATAAGCCAGCCATCATCATGTAGTGTAAGTTTCAAATATAAAAAAAACGGTGGGATTGTGCAGGATGGACATGCAGGACTTGAGCGTTCAGTGGCCGAGAGCTCCTTCCCTAGGCTGGATGATGGGCAAAGGACGGGGAAATGGAGAAGGAACAGGAGCCGAGCCCAAGTCTGGTCGGCAGTTGGTTTATTTCTCTCCTCCTGGGCGTCGTCCCATCTCTCCCTTTATGGTGCAGTCATAGTTGTAGTTTGGGCCATAGTCCCAGTCGTCAGAGTTCCAAAGACTCAAAGTCCCAAAGTCTCAGTTCTCCTCATCTTCAACATCTCGTCATCGACCTTCTTGTCCTCAACATACCAGCATCTTGACTTCATTTCCTCCCACAGCGTCTAGTCTCATTCTGTTCCCCTAATGCTTGATTGAGGGATTCTCATTCTGATTCTTGTTCTCATTGCTCTTACCCCTTACAGCATAGTTTTATAGAAATCATGAAGGGTGGGCATACAAAGATGGGGCTGAACATTATCATAAAAACAAAGAGAGATAAGGCCACTCCTTGAGGAGATTAACTCAAGGAAAAAATCTCTGGAGAGATTACTCCAGATTACTAGGAGATCCACTCAAGGGCAGGTTTCCATGAAGAGTGTATTGCTTTCTCCTTTCCTCAGCTAATAATTCATTTAAAGTCATACTAAATTTACTTCTTATAATATTGCTAGCAAATGCATTTTGTATGAACACGGTAAGAGATATATTAAGCTAAAGTTTGGCTCTTCCTGGGGACATCTCACTATATCTTCCAGATCACAGTTTTTAGGCCAGATTAGTCTTTCCTAATCCCAGCAGGATCCTTATTCAGTTACTTCTTTTTGGGTAATGACAGTTTGTTCATGACAGTGTTCTTACTTATGGTTAAGTATTTATAATACACGTATTTATTAGGTGCTTGTCCTGGCACATTTTGATGCCAGGTTAGCTCACAGCTTGTCCTGGGTCCATCCAATCTCTCATCAGGACCCTGCTCTTGGAGTGCTAGAAATTAAGGGCAACTGAGGCTTAAGTCAAGTAAATATGGATGCCCGGGAGTAAATATTATTTTGAAATCAATTGACTCCCATGTTACATAGCATAGCATCAACTGTCTTCCTGACATTGGTAAATAAATCATGTAAATAACATAAAGGAAAGAGAAAAGCAATCACTAGTAGGATTACTAGTGCCTGGTAGAATTGGATGTGCCTCAGTTGCACTGTTGTGGGAGTGGCTCAATAAACCTTAAGGTTCCTGCAGGAGCAGCAAGGACAACCCAGTGTTATCCAACAATATAGTACTTAATTTCCCCTATTTTAACAGAGACCTGTGTATCTTCAACACACCAAGATTCATCAAAATAGGCTGGAAACGTAGCAGTTTTGCTATTATGAAGACATATTTGAGTGAATGCATAAACTCTGCCACGTTCTGCGAGGCTACATTCTCAGGCCAGAGTATAGGAAGCATCTCATTCATTTCATGGAGAAGACAGCCCCCCAGTGAGGTCCACAGAGATGCCTTAGGTAAAGCAAGGGAGTGAATCCAGGTTTTCTGAAGATCCACTGCTCCACCCAATTGTATCAGAGACTCTCCTTTTGGGAGCCTTTAAAAAACCACCGAGACCCACACTCTCACAGGTTGGGTCCTCTTTCAGTAATTTTATGGTGTGAGCTGCACTGGTGAACAGAGTCCAGCAAAAGTCTGAAAGAGCCTGGGAATCAGCATCACAACCCCAGGTCAGGCAGTGAAGGGTTGGGAAAG